AATGTGGTTAACAGAATTTTGTCATATTGCTATGACAAAGTAGAGTGTTTTTACATACATCAATTATGTCAGTAGTATTAATAGGTGAATAAATATCTTTACATTATTGTGGTCTTTTCCCTCTGCTATTCAATCAGTTCAATTGAATTGCCTATCAATTCAATTACAAATCAATTCAATTACCTATCAATTTAATTACAAATCAATTACCTATCCACCCTCTCATGGTCATATATATTAATGCTCTTTCTAATCTTTTATGTAGGACATGAACTTCATTGGCTGGCCATGCAGGTATGATTGTTCAATTGTACGATGGTACAATTTTCTTTACTGACTGCCTGAACATTTTGGAGGAGGAAAGGAACATGTAAAATTATGAGTATTTTTTTTTTTTTTAAAAATGAAAATCGCTCATTCTCCAAGCACCAAATTCCAGTTAATTTTGTCCTTTTTCCCTGTGGCCTCAGCATGCAGATCTAAGTGTAAAAATGGCACATCGCCTATGGGGATGCACCTCACTGGACCCCTTCCTGAAGAGAAAGGAGAAAATAGGACAACATCATTTTCATTTGACATTCTGCCCATGCCCTATCTTCTTTTTGTCATTTTTTTCCCCCTTCTGGAAATGGAGCTTCTTCCTTTCTTGCGAATGCATTTAAGGCTGTTAATTTTGCCTCTAAGCATGACTTTAAGTGCAACCTAAGTGTTTTAACATGTTATACACTTATTACCGTTCTGTTGAAAATATTTTCCAGTTTTCTTTGTGATTGCTTCTACCACCCACAGGTTATTTAGGTTACTTAAGGCCATCTTTTTTTTTCCCCTGAGCACTCACCACATTAACTATTTCCTGTCTTTTAAGCATCTACTTCATGTACGTAACCAGTTTCTATCCTTGTCCCGGATAAAAATACTAGCTTAAGATAAGTTACTTCCTCTGGCTATAAATTGGACATTAAGCACGTTTTATATGTTTAAAATACAGCAATATGACAAAATTCTGTTAACCACATTAAAGTATAAATGTGGTTGAATTTTTGACATCTGTAGACAGATCTGTTGAAAATTTCAGTGTTTGATTACAATATAGATAAATCAGTATAATGTTTATAAGCAGTATCTTTTATGATCTTTAAGTGGTTGTAGGAGTACTTACAACTCTTTTTTTATATTCATATTGAAATTTAAAGGTATTTTAAAGTAACTTTCTTGTTATCCAGTTATTCACTCAGGGTAATCAGATGTCTATTCAAAACAGCCAACAATGAGCTAAAGGAGTGCTGTTCCAGCCAGAATCCTACCGCTACCACAAGTGATGAAAGCACAAGAAATCCTCCACAAAGGTATTCTACAACTTTAAGTGCAACCTAAGTCTATTCTAAACTTCTGAACTAACGGTTGGAGAAAACTGGCTCTTTAAATTTCAAAATAAAAATCAGTTTGCCTATCAATATAAGGCAATAAATACTCATGCATCCACCTCTCGTGTGCCAGTAATTCCCAGGGACCCTATAGAAATCTTACTGCTGTGCAAATAGAGGGACTGACACAAAAACTCCAGTCACAGGATTCTCTGGGTGGTTCTAAAATAGAAGAGGCACGTATAGGTATCTTAAAGATCAGGCATCATTCCAATCACTTTATAAGAATTAATGAATTATTATAAATTATTAATACAGCAAACCTGCAAACTAGTCGCTATAATTCTTGCTGTTATTATTCCCGCTGTCAGATGGGATAAAAGAAGGTAACTAATTTGTGACAGGGGAAAGTCTCAGATAGTGAGTGGTGGATTCAGGATTTAAACCCAGGATGCCTGATTCTGGACACTTGCATTTAACTTCCGCAGCCCTCGCAGCTGCCGGCGCCGGCGCTGCACACACAGCCCCGCTCCGCGCGCCCAGCCCCGCCGGGTCCCCGACCCTGCCGGCAGCCGGCAGTGCCTAAACGTTAGATCTGAAGGATAGGAGCGTGCTGAGAAGGATAATGCTTTTAGGCAATTAATTGTGTGTTCTTTAAATACGGGCATGTTAACCATACGGGGCTGGGCAGCGCATGCCTGAGCTGTTTGGAATAAAAGACTGCAGGATTTTGCAGTTTCTTTCTCTCCATCCTGCAGTCCACTTCTGAACTTGTCTCCCTCCTCTTGGGATATTCTTAGGCTGCCTGGACTTCACTTCAGCTCTGCTATCGCCCAGCCTTCCACTCATTCCACTCAGACCCCCAAATGCTGACCGGCCAGGGGATCCCATGCTACCCTGCAGACTGTTGTATGCACAAGAAATCCAGGTCCCAGCCTCTGAGGCTGTCAGTGCTTTGTTAGTAAAGAAGGCACAGCTGAGCCAAATAACCAGACAAATGACCAGATGTGTACTTTCTGAGAATTGTAAAAACAATATTGATGCTCAAAAAAAATATGTATATCAGGGCAGGAATATGGACAAAGGCAGTCAGAGAAAATTATCTCTGAAGACATTTGGATAGGATGGGAACTAGTTTATTTTTCTCAAGATGCACTGCCCAATTATTTCCAGTTATTCAATTATTATTCATTTTTTATGGTATTTAAAATCATGGGATACATATTGGTTTATAACAGTTTATATGAAATATTGTTATGATAAAACTAAAAGATAAAGTCACTATCAGACTATAAGACATGAACACGAATGGCAGTTACACAGGTGGGCATTTGCAAGCACACACTGCCTGGCACCAGCTGCACAGCCTTGGGCAGGTAAGGAAACATTCTGCTTCTCAGTTCCCTTGTGTTAGATGAGATGGCCAAATACTATGTACAACTTCACTCCAATACAGTAACTACTAGCCCCATGTGGCTATTTAAATTAAATTTATAATTTTAAAAATGGACATTCATTTCCTCACTCTAGCCTCATTTCAAGTGCCCAAGAACCCCATGGAGCTAGTAGCTTTCATACTGTACAGCATGCATACATATATATATAAATTGTTCACAGAAAGTTCTTCTGGACAATGCTGGTGTATCAAGAGAGGGTCAACTATGATTTAGATACACTGCTGGGAAAATATCACAATTAAGCAAATAATAGATGCAGTGCTAGGAAAATATCACAATTAAGCAAATAATAGTTTTATATTCAGGATTCTTTTGTTTGTGAATTTGTAGAGAGCTTGGCGTAGAAGCCTGAGAGCTGTGCTGCAAGTCTTTTTCTTGTAAAAATCACTGGGGCTGTCAAATCCTGATAAAGAGAAAGTTTATTTCAAAAAGTTCAAGTGAGGCAAACTTTGGGACAGCTTGCATGCAAAATATAAAACTCGGTAACTATCAAAAGGAGAAAAAGACAAATCCAACATTTCCTACATTCACGACGAATAATCAGCACCATTTTCAAATAATTATCAAATTAGAAAAAGACAACCTTTTAAAAACATTGAGCCTTTTATTTAGGTCTTCTGAAGCTAAAATGCTTTTCATTTTATTGTACAGCCTGAATTAGTTTAATTCCTAGGTTAGTTAACTTTTAATGTTGTTATGAATGTTATTAATTTTAAATGTTTACTTCAAATGTTATTGATAAATAAAAATGATTTTCGTATATTGCACTCCTGTCCAGTGTCTTTGCTAAATGCACCTATTAAAGCTAATAGCTTATCTGTAAATTATTCTTAATTTTCTGTTGCATTCCATCAATAATTTATTTCCAGTTATAACATCTTTTATTTCTTTGCTATTACACTAGCTAGGACTTGCAATAATAAATACAGATTTTTTTGCCTTTAGATTTATTTCAGAGGGAAAGTTTTAGAAACCTTTTAGATAATTATCTAAATTACAGATGTAACAGATCCATATTCACATTTATTTCTGCTCCTGTCATTTTTACTAATAGATGTTTCCAGCAATATGACTATTTCATGTAAATTTTCAAGTTTAATGTCCTAATTTTGTTCCTGATATTCTCTAATGATTTTTAATGCCTGTTATTAATGTAGTGATAACATATTTGAAATTACTGATGTTGGTTATTACAGCCTTCTTCATTTTTCCTTGATAAGTTTCACCAGAAATTATCTGGCTTCAATAAGCTGTTTAAAGGATTTTACTTAATTTATTTCCCTTATTTAATATTTGTTTTTCTTCATTGCTTTTCTTGGCCTTATTATTTGCTTCATTCTGCTTTCTTTGCTTTTACCTACCTAATTATAATTTAATTTGTTGACTTGGGTGATTATAAATATTCAGATATGTTTCCACTTTACAGATTTAGGCAACAAAATTTCCTCAAAGAAACTTACAGAAAAAAAAAAATCCAATAATATATAAAACGATATATCATGACACAGAAGGGCTTCTTATTAGAAACAAATTGGTCAGTTAAATATTTGAAACTCATAGCTGCAAATAATCACATTAAGAGAATAAAGGGAAAAACAAGATTATCTCAAAAAATATATAAAACTACATGACAGAATTCAGTATGCAGTCATGATACGTACTCTCAGCAAAGTAGGAATACAAAAAAATGATTAATCCACTACACGTATCTGCAAAAATGACAAAACGCTTATATATGGAAATTAAAGACCATTCCTTTGTGGATAGTATGCCACAACACAGCACAGATGGGGTTGAAAGAAAGCAAGAGAAACAAAGGGCTGCCATGAATTAAACCAGTAGAGAAAATAAAAGCCTGGGTCATGCAGGGGACAGTGCCTTATTCAGCCAGCATCAGGAATGATTGAAGTCTGGGGCTTCTACACAGTGGGAAAACGAGCATAGTAATCACAATAAAGAAAGACATCTGAAAGGTGCTAACTTAGCCTCGGATCAGAAGCGCTGTCTGCTAATGCCTTGCTGGTGAAAAGCGTATCCTGCGTAAGCCCTCAGAAATCCCAGAAAACAAAGACCAAAAGAAACGACGCTTTGTCAACAGAGCAAATCGAAAAAATCTTCCAGCAGTGACAGGGCATTAAAAAAAAAAAAACGCAGACATAAGATGGAGTGAATCAAAAAAGGATTTATCTAATTCATGTATGAAATGTTTCAGAATCTATTGGATTCTAATTTTTTTAAAGCAGACAGATACGAAAATACAACGAAGACGTGCATGACTGAAACCAAAAGAGATTAAAGTAAAACCTCATTCTCCTGAGGAAACGGTGTGAGGAGGGAATTAGGGGCTGCCGGAACACAGCGAAGCAGAGGCAGAAGGCAGACAAAAGGGGCTGGGTTGGTCCCTGCCTGTGTGAACAAAAAATATGTCAGATTGGAAAATTGCGGTAAAATCCAAGCGCGGCGCGTACGTTGCCCCCACAGGAAGTGTCCGCCGCGCTGCCTGTGCCCGGAAGTAGGTAGGAACACACAGTCACAGGCAGCCAAGAACCGGGGGGGAAGAAAAAGAGATGCACACTTCCCCTAGAGAAGCCTCCGAGCGCGGCCGCGACTCCGGGCCTCAAGCCCATAAAGAAAAAATACCGGAGACGTTCTGGCACCATTTCGGGGTAAAGAAGCTGCCATGGAAGAGCCTGCAGCTCCCTCAGAAGCCCAGGAGGCAGCCGGGGCCCAGGCAGGTGCTGAGGCAGCAGGGGAGGGTGTGTCCGGGCCGGACCTTCCCGTCTGTGAGCCCTCCAGGGAATCTGCTGCTCCAGATTCGGCCCTGCCACATGCGCCTGTGGGCTGGGCCCCCTTCCCTGTAGCTCCAGTCCCTGCCCACCTCCGCACAGGAGGCCTGAGGCCTGCACCAGCCTCAGGAGGAGGAGCATGGCGCAATCCGTTTCCAAGCCGAAGCAGCGGCATTTGGACAAAGCAGATCATCTGCAGGTATTATATACATGGGCAGTGCAAGGAGGGGGAGAACTGTCGCTATTCCCACGACCTTTCTGGTCGGAAGATGGCCACTGAGGGCAGCGTTTCGCCGCCTGGGGCCTCTGCAGGTGGAGGCCCTAGCACGGCTGCGCACATCGAGCCCCCGACTCAGGAAGTGGCGGAAGCCCCCCCGGCTGCATCCTCCCTTTCCTTGCCTGTGATTGGCTCGGCTGCTGAAAGGGGTTTCTTTGAAGCCGAGAGAGACAATGCAGACCGTGGAGCTGCTGGAGGAGCAGGTGTAGAAAGCTGGGCGGATGCCATTGAGTTTGTTCCAGGGCAGCCCTACCGGGGCCGCTGGGTTGCATCTGCCCCCGAGGCTCCTCCACAGAGCTCAGAGACTGAGAGGAAGCAGATGGCTGTGGGCAGGGGGTTGCGGTTTTGCTATTATGCTTCCAGGGGAGTTTGCTTTCGTGGGGAGAGCTGTATGTTCCTCCATGGAGACATATGCGACATGTGTGGGCTGCAGGCCTTGCACCCCATGGATGCTGCCCAGAGGGAAGACCATATAAGGGCCTGCATTGAAGCACACGAGAAAGATATGGAACTCTCGTTTGCTGTGCAGCGTGGTATGGACAAGGTGTGTGGCATCTGCATGGAGGTTGTCTATGAGAAAGCCAACCCCAATGACCGCCGCTTTGGCATTCTTTCCAATTGCAACCATACCTTCTGTATTAGGTGTATCCGCAGGTGGAGAAGTGCCAGACAGTTTGATAACAGGATCATCAAGTCTTGCCCGCAGTGCAGGGTCACCTCCGACTTGGTCGTTCCCAGTGAGTTCTGGGTGGAGGAGGAGGAAGAGAAGCAGAAACTTATTCAGCAATACAAGGAGGCAATGAGCAACAAGGCCTGCAGGTATTTTGCGGAAGGCAGGGGTAACTGCCCATTTGGAGACACATGCTTTTACAAGCATGAATACCCTGAGGGCTGGGGAGATGAGCCTCCTGGGCCAGGTGGTGGGTCATTCGGCGCATACTGGCATCAACTTGTGGAGCCTGTGCGAATGGGAGAGGGCGACATGCTCTATAAAAGCCGTAAGAAGGAGCTTGTCGTGCTTCGACTGGCCAGTCTGTTGTTTAAGCGGTTTCTTTTACTGAGAGATGAGTTACCCTTCTCTGAGGACCAGTGGGACTTGCTTCATTATGAGCTGGAAGAATATTTCAATTTGAATCTGTAGCATTGTGCTGTGGCATGTGGTCTAGTCTGCTGAGGTTCTGTCGTCTGCTATTGCCTGTTTTCCCTGTGTTGACACTCTTATTGCTTTCAGGGGCTGTTGAGGCAGTGCTTCTGTTTTCTTGTCTATTCTGCATATCTTTCCTCCTAGGATTATGGTGATTATCTGTGTTTAAAAAAATAAGTCCTTAAAGTTACTGTTTTGGTGAAATTAATATTAATGTCAGCTTATGGCTTTTTTTGTCATCTCTGTTTTCAACAGGATTAACTCAGTTCTAGTGTAGTGTTTACTGAATTTCCACACTTATTTTGAAGACCCTCAAGAGTAAATGTGGCAGAGTGAAAGGAGAAGTTTTAATTGAACTAGTAGCTTTGTGCTATAATAGCCTTAACAAATGGACCCTCGCAGGGTCTTGCAGCTGCTCATCTGTTTACAGTTTGTTCTTTCCCTCCTTCCCCTTCAAGTGCACTTGTTAAACTGTGATGAACTTGTGATTTTGTGTTTTACTTGACCAAAACCAAGTGTATATGTTTACATGTTTTTATCCTGTTTAGCTTGACATGAAATAATTTATATTTGGAAATATATATTTAAGAATGATATATATATAATATATATGTATAAGAGCTATGTATTTGAAAATATATATACAAGAATATACATCACAATATTTATGTTTATGTAATAAAGTAAATACAGAGCCGAAAGCTGAAGGTCAAAGCCTAACAGGATTGGCTGTTGTGTGGATGTGAGTTGTGTGAATAATCATTCTGTCCCTTGCACAGAAGCCAGTAATTAGCATCTAATGAAAAGGACTGTTCAAGTGGGTCTGGCCAAATGTAACAGATGCAGATCTTAAGAGGACTTACAAAGCACTATATTGGTAATTCTTACAATGGCATTAATAGCTCACTCTATAAAAACAGAAATTGTGTTCCTACGCAGTTTTGCCACCTTCTCAATAATTCTTTGTAACAGCAAATCCTAGGCTCAGAGGCACAGTGCTTTGTATTTGATATACAAAGTCTCTAGACTTTCCCAACAAGGGGCTTTAGACAAAAGATTTCAACATAAAAGTAACAAGATTATAAAAGGGAAAATAGAACAAAAATACTAAAACCAGTGAGAATAAAATAATGGAAAGATAATAAAATATAGAAAGCACTAAAAACTAAGTGTAAGAGTAATATAGAAAATTTACATACAACTTAGATTAAATGAAAGCAGTTTAAAGACTGAAAGTCAAAGGCTATAAGACTTCATTACAATCAAAATGAAACATCCTATTTAAAATACACACAACATAAAAATACAGAAGCATTCAAAGTAGTAAGATGGGAAAAAAAACCAAACAGGTGCTGTGACTGTCTTGATTGTAGACAATGTTTATGGTAAGGATAAACACTTTGCTGGAGATAAAAAGGAATGATACATAAACATTAAATTGTAATTCACAGGAATATATAACTGTTCAAATTTTGTATACATTTAATAATGTTGTATCAGATACACAACTGATAAAAATAGAAAATCCTAACTCCAGACTCTTAGTGGACAATTTTAATACACCTTTTTAGTAACCAAACAAGCAAAGAAAAAATGAATGTGAAAGATAATTATGCCATTTTAATGACTTACCTGCATAACTTATGATCTGCATCAACTGCAAATGCACTTACCTTGGCTGAAGTAGCTGAAAAATATGCTAGGAGTGTGAATCTTGAGTCCCAGGTTATTCACACTGTCCTGACTGTCCAACAAATATGGCACATTTAAGAGTTTTTATACCATGTAATTTGCATGCAAAAGGATGAATTTGTCAGAACTACCTAATGTGGTACTTGCTATAATTTTTCTCATTATCCTGATGAGGTAAATAATAGAGAATTTAAAGGTTTTGCCCATAGAGTTTATGACCCATAGCTGTGAATTAGTGGAACAAAGACTGGAACTCAAACAGTGTATGTCCAGAGCAGTTGCACTTACCATGTTCACTAGGAGCAGGTGGACTAGCTGAGTGTAGCTGCTGGAGACGCAAGTACAGCCTTTAAGTATGGATGCTTCAGCCAAGTGGAGCAAAGATGGACATGAATAAGCTCCCGCAGAATATAGGAGCCATGGGGCTTTTATCTATAGGCTGCCAGCTCAGTGATTTTAGTCCACTGCTTCAGAGTGTGCCTCAGCCTCCTATAATTTTACATTGCCTCTCCCTTCTTACATGACTCCTGGTGCTAGTAAGTACCTCAGCCTATTTGCCTGGACCTTTTGCCATGTTCCTTTCCTTTTGATTCCTCTTAGCGAAAGAATTCACCAATTAGGACACCCTTGATGCCTGACTATCACTGGCATGCAAGGTGAGTGACAGATTCCAAATAAATTCCAAACATCTGAGGTTCCTGCCCTGCAGTTGTGCAGGAGAAAGAGAGATTAGATGAACTAAACAACCAAAGAATGAGACCAGATGGTGTATTCTCAAAGACTGTGCCAACACCAAAGTCTCAAAAAATGAGTCCCAGTAGTGGCAAAGCTTTCAGAGAGGTGTTTTTAAGCTGAGCCCAGAAAGCTGTGGAAAGTTTCTCCAAATGTACAGTTCCCTGCGTTGTGAAATACCATGTTTTTATTCAAATAGTATCTTGAGCCAGATAATCTTTAAGTTCAGGATTTATAGTAGGACAATGGTTAGTAGAAAATAAAGTGGCTTGGGAGACAAAGGATAGTTAGAATGCTGACTCTGCTTCTTACTAACCATTCAGTTTCACAGTCTAAGGAAGTTACTTAAATTTTCTGTACTTCAGTTTCTTCATATGAGAAATGGGTACAGTTCCACCTACTTTTGCAGGATTGTTGTGAGGATCAAATACAGTCTGGACAAAAAGCTCAAAACATAGTTTGTTGGTTTGTGTTTTTTTTTTTTTTAGTGATCTATATAGATGTGAGATTTGTGCATATTTTTGGACATGAAAAGGTGATTGCACAGAAATTAATCACCAAGATTTTCTTTTTGAGAATCTTTGGAACTTGTATTAATGTAACATTATCATTTAATGATTATTTTGGTAAGCAAGGGGTATATTACCCTCACATTCATACTTTCAAAAAGATGAAGTATTTTTTCAGCAAAAAATACTCAGTTGAAACTAAATATGTGCTATTATCAGTTACTTAAAGTGTAACAAAAGAAATACATATTTTTGGCAGATTTCTAAGTGAGGAAAATAACAAAGGGACATTTTTAGACTATATGGGATTCCTTGTTCCGTCATCAGTTCATTCAGAAAAATGTCAAATAACAGAAGTATTACTGCCAGCAAGTCTGGGTGAAGTGTTACCAAGGGCTTTCCCACGATCTGACCACTCCCCTGCTGCAGTCAGGAACAAAGAAGCCCTTGCCACACAAAGGTCTGCTCTGTGCGTGGCGCGGTGTGTGTGCAGGCCCTCGCCCCAGGAGGACTCGGATTCAGCCCTGGGGCCTACAAAAATGGTATCATTTCAGCTACAACTAAAAAAGCCTAAAACAAGTCAGGTGTGCTTAGGTTTCATGTGTCTCGATTTGATGGATATCCACACATGCAAATATGCTAAGAGAAATTTACCTAGTAATTCTTCCCCTTCGAAGATACGGAAATCACTTTGTCTCATGGCTCACATGTCACTAAATCAATTCACTGAATTTCACTGACAGGGAAACATTTTCAGTCCGTAGTCTATGTCCGTATGCTCTTCCATTTTACAGTTTTCCAAACGTCGTGGAGGCGTGGTTTCTGTTGCCACAGCTAATGCTAAACTACAACTTCAGTGTGGGATAGAGTTAGGGTAGGGCTGGGAACAGGGATGTATGGGAAGTAACCCAGTACTAGTGCATAGAAGTAAATTAATTCATGTCAGTTTTTGCCATGAAAATATATATCACATTTTCCAATATTAAGGGAACAATAACAAAAATAATTATGAAATAGAGTACAGTGAAACTGTCAATTAGATCTAGATATTAAAAGTAGTACAGGCAACATTCTCTGAGGTCAATATAAGAAAATAAGCTACTACTGTCTGGGCACAGTGGTTCACACTTGTAATCCCAGCACTCTGGGAGGCTGAGGCGGGTGGATCACGAGGTCAGGAGATCAAGACCGTCCTGGCTAACACAGTGAAACCCTGTCTCTACTAAAAATACAAAAAAAAAAAAAAAAATTAGCTTGGCGTAGTGGCGGGCGCCTGTAGTCCCAGCTACTCTGGAGGCTGAGGCAGGAGAATGCCGTGAACCCAGGAGGAGGAGCTTGCAGTGAGCGGAGATGGCGCCACTGCACTCCAGCCTGGGCAACAGAGCAAGACTCTGTTTCAAAAAAAAAAAGAAAAGTAAAAGAAAATAAGCTACTACCACTTTTAATTGTCTCTCATAAATAATTTGATGTAGGAGTGAATTCAAAATCATTTAGAATATAATATGACAATGGCAAATTATACATACCATAATATACAGGATACTTCTAGATCTGTACTCAGAGTATAACTCCTAATTTTAAATACTAATGTATATTGTCTTAAAAACATAAAGAGCCTAATTAACTAGGTATTCAAACCTAAATTTTAAAAAGACCACAGCATGAACACATGCACACATATACACAAATACATACAAACACAACTAAGGTAAGCAGGAGGAATTAATAAATATTAAACTAAA